CTTATTTAAAAGCTCAGTGCATCTCTGCAGTATAAGTGCAATAACCCAAGCCAACTACTCTGTAGTCTTTCCGTAGCTCTCCTACTGTGTAGATATTTTTATATCGAAGGGGAACAGATTCCAGGACATTACAACTGTTTCTTTTTTATGCTTTTTTGTACTGTATACACTATTTTTATATTGTCTGTTGTATTTTTTATCTTTAATGGCATCTTGCTTTAACTCTTTGTACTCTACATAAGCTACTGGAAGCAGAATGTCCCTGAAGGAGTAATCCCAAGGGATAAATAAAGCTGAGTCTAAGTCTGAGTCTAAATTAATAATAAAATATGAAAACGATCAATTCATCCATCCTTTTATTAAAGAACCAATTAAAGTAGAAATGATCTGAATTTGAATGATTGAAAACCAGAACTAAGCAGATTAAAGTAATGAAAAACCATCAGTTGCTCTGAGCCGCTGGGGGCGTGGTCACCATTACAGCTGAAACAACGTTCACACGCTGCTGTTTCACTGCAGAAGTTTAAAATACGCTAGGAGCGAACCAGTCTGAGTCAGCGGTTACCAGTCTGAGCCAGCGGTTACCAGTCTGAGCCAGCTGTTACCAGTCTGAGCCAGCGGTTACCAGTCTGAGCCAGCTGTTACCAGTCTGAGCCAGCTGTTACCAGTCTGAGCCCTTACCAGAGGGAGCATGCAGTTACCAGTCTGAGCCAGCTGTTACCAGTCTGAGCCAGCGGTTACCAGTCTGAGCCAGCGGTTACCAGTCTGAGCCAGCTGTTACCAGTCTGAGCCAGCTGTTACCAGTCTGAACCAGCTGTTACCAGCCTGAGCCGTTACCAGAGGGAGCATGCTGTTACCAGTCTGAGCGAGCAGTTGAAGGACTGACCATGTGGACACCTCTTAGGCCTGACAGCAGCCTGCTTGTTTTTAGGACATTTGATTCATTCATATTTTACTTCTTTCAAGGTTTGTTTCTGTTCTTGAACCAGTGGGAAGATTTGGACGGTTTTGCTGCACTGAAAGAAAACGGCTTTATTGGATGTTTTTTTAAATATTTTTTCTGTTCATCTTTTAATGCTTTGGTGTAAAAAGAGGCTAACATCAGGCTGTAGAGTGTTATTAAAATTTGTTTCTAGTATTATTAAAAACGAGCAAAACATCCAGATGTGGCTGCTGGGTCAGACGCTAGTCAAGTTGTTTTGTTGCTTCGCCTCTGGCTGCTCGGTGCTCTGGTTGTTTATCTGCTCTGTTCTGGAGCTTCAAGCTAGAGAGCAGCTCGGCTTTATTTACTCGATGAGTTGAAAAATAGTTTTAAGACTGTTTTAAAAAACAATTTAAGGTCAGATTGCGATACGCTAAAGTCTGTAAGTAATTAAATTGAAGCCAGCCTGTCGGGGGTTTCCTGCTGCAGTTCGTAGCGGCTGGAAGTGAATAGAAAGAGTTCTTTAAGTTTTGTGTATTTTTCATCAGCAGGTTTTAACATTTCTTATTAATTTGGGTTTTTATAAACAGTTTCTCCATAGTTGATAAAAAATCTTTTTGTGCAGCAATAATGATCAGAGCTGCTCTATGTTCCTTCTACATAACAATCCATACTTCCAGCTTTTATTTAACCTTTGGAGTTTAATATTTATTTAGTTATCATATGCAAACTGTCTGCAGAAGCGATGACAGCTTGCAGGTAGAGTCCGTCTCCCCCCGAAAACTCCTGCATCAGCTCTTCTGATTGGTTGATGCTCCGGCATCCAGCGTCAAACGCTTGAACGCGCCGCTGGACCTCTCAACATGCATGTAAACCAGAGTCTGTGACGCCCAGAAGGCGCCCAGTGAGAACTCAGCGGACGTTTTTACACTGGATTCCTACTCAAATGGCAAAGAAAATATTATTTTTGCTTATTGATTAATTAGTGAACTTTTTTTATCATCTCTATTATTGTTTGGATAAGAACTAAATAGCTGAACCAACTGAAGCTAGATAGAATCTAAAATAGAGAATAAAACGGGACGTCAGAGCCTGGATAGTGGTAGTGATACCAGTGACTGGTGTGGAAACTGGTTTCAGTGGTGGGACCGTCTGGCCTGGCTGGGAGCGCAGTCTGACTCTAACGGGTTTATGGTCTGGATGTCCTGCTGAGCAACGATCCTGGATGCAGAGAAGCAGTCAGTTTAGCGGTGATCATGAAGTCTGGGTTATTCTAAATGAGGAAATCTGTTTTATCCTGATAGAATCTCACCTGATAAAATCCTTTCTCC